GTGTGTGTGTGTGTGTGTGTGTGTGTGTGTGTGTGTGTGTGTGTGTGTGTGTGTGTGTGTGTGTGTGTGTGTGTGTGTGTGTGTGTGTGTGTGTGTGTGTGTGTGTGTGTGTGTGTGTGTGTGTGTGTGTGTGCGTGAGTGTGTGCGCGCGCCCGTTACTTCAGAAAAACCAATAAAGGATGAACGGATCGCGGGTCAGTGAAGCGGTAGGCGGCTCACTTGACCGGAAGAGAACGTTCCACTTATGGAATAGAGCGGTGCCGAATAGTAGTGTAGTAAAACCTACTTACAGGGATGTGCTGACAGGCTTACCCGCACCATACAAATTGCGGACGAGCTGAGAGGTGCTGACAGCGGTGCACGGACTTGTAATTAAATGACCGTAATTGCCTCGCAAATTAACAAATTAACAAAGCGAGCTGTTTTCAGAGAGGTCAGGTAACACAGGCCATGCAAAATCTCTCGCCGTCAATTCAGCTGTGTGCACGTCCCGTTGTGTTTAGACGAAACCTGGGCAAAATCTAGCTTGCACGAAAATGTCGTTTACTTCCCAGATATGTACTACACTCGCGAAAAGAGTTTAAAAGGTAATAAATCAAAAAGGAAAAATCTGTCTGTAAACTTGACTGTAACATTTGCAAATCAAAATAGCTGCTGCGCGCTTATCTAAAATAAAAACGAACACAAAATGTAAACCGATAGTTAAAATATTAAAATATACATGATACACAATTAAGGCTTGCAAGAGAAAATCTAAGGAGAATTCAAAACTGCTTTCACATATCATGTTTGCTTCTACGCCCTACTTTTTCAAAAATCTATATGGTCAGATTTCGCGAACAACCCTTCGCTGTCTCCAAAGCCAAAATTGGAAGTTTTAAAGATATAAACTATGACGACAGATATATAAGATATAACAGCGTTGCGACGTAGTACGTCACTAGATGATGTAGGGGAAGCAATGCGGCAGCAGTCACGTTTCACCACTTCCCCTGCAAACGAGCCGCGGGCTGTAATAGTAAGGCAAACTTCAACAGTATTGTAAATTTCCATTTTCAATGACCATAACCCAGCCATCTGCGCATTTCTTGCTCAACACGTTCTAACTCGGTAAAAACGTTTTGATAGAAAATACGGAATGTTGATGCCTGCTCTGGAAACTCGATACTTCACTACATGCGCCATTATTGTTAGCAGTAAGCTCCCGGCCTTTTAGTAACTGAGAAAGCAAGATGGCCGTTTCAAGGCCACTATGCAAGCGCTTCTACTGTTTATATGGGTTTCTGACGATGTCACGTACGCTCGACTGAACCATCTCACAACTGTCGCGTTTCCGCTTGACCGTGAGTAGGTAGATTCTCAAACCACGCTGCTCATTTCGAAAACATCGATACAATAATTGAGTTTCGGCAAGAAATGCGTTAAAACAAAGACGATCTGGTGTTATTGGCGAAGCAACCAGCGGGCAATCCAGCGACTTCCTTCTAGCGCTACTGATCGTTTCGGATATTTACTGCCTCGTCGGAAAAACTTTTAGCGTGCTAAGACGATGATTACCTATTAAGTTTGGCACTAAAACGTTAATATGTCTCAAAATAAAGATTGGTCACAGCTTTAATATTGTAATAATCCTGAGTGAAAATAACGGGGACCAGGTACTAAACGAAATTGTTGCAGGCTTCACTAAGGGAACGTGTCTTGTTATTTAAAGCGGATTGCTTGTTTGCTCAATCCGCATTGTAGCGATAAAATATCCCTAACGTGCAAATCAATTGGTAATTTCGCAATAAGCTAATACCTTTTCTGCTGACCACGAGCATGTCATGAAAAACAATTTAAAGTGAAAGGGAAAATGTAAAATGAACAGTAAAATGGGTAAGGGTAAGAGGTATGTGTAATACAAGAGGTATAATGTAATGCACAAAAGGATAAATGTTATTTAGGAGGTTTGTCTTCGGAGAGTACCTTAATTGTCAGATAATATCTAATGAACAATATCCACTGGAAAAATAACCACCACACAATATCCTCCAGGTAATATCTATTGTAGTCGGTAAGCAGTGACGGTGCGGCAAACCGGAATTAATTACGTTTAAGACAATGGCGGACGCACCTAGCTGGGGCGCATAGGGTCTATGTCTCCCAGGGTACTGCCGGAACGTACCCTGGGTACGGAACTAAGTCACTACTACTAACTCCCTAGACTCGTTAGTGGAGTAGGCGAGGTACGGTCCGGCATATTAGATAGTACCAGGGTACGTTCCGGTATACCGGACCGTACCCAGGGTACGTTCCGGCAGTACCCTGGGGGACATAGACCCTCTCAGCCTAGCTGGGCACCTCGCGCTAAGCAAACTGGCCAAGAGATGATATGTCGATGCATCGCTTGGCGTTAAAGGCAACGACGGACGCACGTTTCCCGCCAAATCTAGTTCCGCTAATCCGGTTTCTCGTGGCCCCTATATAAACCACATCCGCTAGGCATCGACACCTTACGTCACACCGTCACTGCGGACTTATAGGTAAATATGTTTGTCTTTCTCTCGAGTTATCGTACTTGTTATGGTTGTAATATTTGACGATCAACTTAGATACTTACTTGTATTATATTGCATGTATTTATTGGTGATTTACGTTTTCGTATTTCTCTCGCGAAAATCGTATAGTTGTTATCAATACGTAGTAATATTTGACGCGATGAAACTCACTTCCACTGACTTGAATTATATACACGTATTAACGATTTTGCATGAGTATGTGTATGGGATAAACTGTAGATAGTAAAACTTTACGTCACACCGTCACTGCGGACTGATTTGGGGATTGATTTGAGGACCGTGCAACGGGCATTCATCGAGCTAACCCCCCGCGAACAGACGCTTCACAGTACAACATATCCCTTGGGTAATATCTCACTGGACAATACCTGACTGGATCTCCGTAGAGAACATCCACGAAATCATTATCACACACTATCTCATTTAATTCTCATAATTTTTCGAAATTGCTTAAAACGTTACACTTACCTGAGTATCAATATTGAACTTCGTAACCAGTCCCAATTGACCGAAAAATTCCACTCCAGCGGCCAACATTTCCATGGAGTTGAGGGAAAAGTTGTCAAATAAAAGTTCCTTTAGGTTCACATTACGCACTTGATCAGGTAACGTCGTCGCCTATCGCAAGAAAATAATATAGAAATTATCCAACTGTTGCAATAATTGTGTGCAAATTTAATAGAATATTTTATCGTAAAGCTCAAAACTACACAACCATTATGCCAAACACCTATGCGTGCACGCAAGCGCAACACATACACACACACGCACACACACACACACACACACACACACACACACACACACACACACACACACACACACACACACACACACACATACTCTCTCTCTCGCTTTCTTTCCTTTCTTTCTCGACCTCCCATTCCACTGTATTTTGTGTGCTCTCATTTTCTCTTTCGTTCTTCCTTCACTCTAAATCTGTGTAATGCGATCACATAGTCTCCTTTTGTCGCGTAAAAACGGAAGCAGCTGGTGCTGCAGGCAACATTTTTCAACGCGTGGTTTAATACACCATGGACGAGACTCTTTTCCCAACCAGAATGCTCGAGTTTCAAGTATTACGAGTAAACATTAACGATCATGCATTTCTCTTGCAACGTTTGAACGCGCGTGGTTTCTGCATGCAGATTAATCTACTGATTAACTGTTCTAAATATAACGTATTTATGATCTTACCGCCAGAACCATGGCTTCCTGCGGCGATGTCGATGTGTGATAGGAGAGAACCTATAACAACAGGGACTTATGAGTACTAGTATGACGTTCATTGCAATGTAATCGCTATACCGTTATTACGCAGTTTCTGTCTAACACACAAAACTGCTCTACACTACTGCTGACATCCACGAAGATATGCTCATTAAATTGCTTTGGTAAAAGTCCGGCTAAAAGTCGTAAAATGGTGAATAGATACGCATATGTGATCTTCGTGCACAAAACACATGTTTTGCCTCTATTCAATGTTTAATGCGTTCAGCGAGCAACATTTTCAAAAGGATAAAAAGGCGGATGTCTATTTCTGGCGCAACATGAATTGTTATCGAAATACAAAAAAAGAGTTAAAGATATCGAATGATGAAATAGTATATATATTACAATAAATTTATCATTATGCATAAACAGTAAACACTAAGAACATCATGCTAATTCTGTAAATAACCGAGACTAAACATTTCCACGAAATATTGTAACTAACAGTTTATATAACGTTTGCCATACCTCTAATGCAACGGACTGCATCGCAGTAATCTTCTTTTGCTCATTATACATAATGGTGTTATTGATCCCTAACCCGTAGAAGATGGCCACCGCCTGCCAAGAGAGTAAAATATTATGCACTGTCTGAGTTTAGATCACTTACATAATCTGTATGAATCTTCTCGAACAATGATTGCTGCATAGTTTAAAATAACATTTGATGACTATAATCTGGAACAGTTTTTAGTTTTACAAGTCTGTTAAATATTCACTACTCCCCAGTGAGGATGTAGATTCAATCTATCGCGCAACACATGCCATTATTTAAATAAGATTAATCTATTAATATAATAATAACCTTCATAACTCATGGTCATCCACGCACGAAGTTATATCCAATCATACTATATATTCATTTAAACACACTCAAAGCTAAATAACACTACATGCACGCACACACACTCGCAGACACTCACTCACGCACGCACGCACGCACACACATGCACACACGCACGCATGCACGCACACACATGCACACACGCACGCATACACACACGTGCGTGTATATCTATATATAGTGATCACAAAACTGGCTGATGTTCAGCCTGAAATTCTAACCTATAAATTAGCGGAGCTTATATTTGCGTAATAACAAGAACGTAAAGGCTTTATTAAAATTACGAAAATAAAAAAAGGGAGGTGGCATCATATGAAACTAATTTGCCGGTTGAATGGTATAATAAACGCTATCCGCAATATCTTTCCTATACTAAAAGTAAACTGATGCAATCCTTAGATCACACCACTTAGTTTCCGTTCGCTTACAAATACCTCGAATAGTGCTTCATCTGTTTCATCAAAACATTCACCATCTGTTCTGTTCACAATCTGGGTAACGCCTAGCATGGGAAAAAGGAGAGAAATATCTGCCGTTGTCCACAAAGAACAGCATAATGTCAATTTTCTCGAAAGAAGAGATGTTACCGCGTGCATCAACTTTAAAACAATAGTGACACTTTTGTTTTCAATCGATGTAATTTACACCATTGGCGAGTAACAGAACATGATACCAGTAACGCATTGATCACTAATCAACGTTAACCTAGCACCCATGTGTTTAGTGTGCAATTTCACCAACGAAACATTACGTTTACGTAAAATTATCAATAAACCGCCCATTTGCGCTTGTGCGCGTGTGTGTGCGCGTGTGCGCGTGTGTGTGTGTGTGTGTGTGCATGCGCGCGCGCACGCGTGTATATGTGCTCGCTTGCGTGTGTATATGAGGGTGTTCGTCCTCAGTGTAATAGACAGTTTAGCAGCAATATTATGGTACATTTTAACGACAGGACGGCTTCACATTAAAAAAACCATAGACAGCTTACGTAATTTATGAAGCGAAATAATAAAACGAACACGGCCACGTGTGCGCGTCTTAGTGATTCAACACAGTGGGTATCCATGGCAATAGGCGTTGAGGGGCGAAGCTAAAAGCAACTCAGTATGAATTGCTGAATCACTGATGTGAGCATCCATAGCAAGCGGCATATGTGTGTGAGAGATATCCAAATACGGCCGAGTGCTAAGTAGAAACGTCAACATTCGCTTGAAGCTTTTTAACGAACGCATCAATCTCTGCCAAGCGATATATTTTGTCGCTAGAATGTTGGCAGACACCGCAATACAATAGCCGATTCTGTGACGTTGAGCGTGACCGATAAAATGACAAAACGAATGAGCTTGTCACGCTCAATCTATGTTTGTATCTAAGAGGATAGGCGGAATAAATAAAGCGGTATATGATATCACAACCCGAGCGTTACGTTCACGTTATTTCCAAGTAAAACAATTGCATCACTAAAATTTCCGGCCTCTAAAGCTTACGTTGTTGCCTGTAGCGTAGACACGGACACTCGTCATTGGGGTTTCACTGTTTCATAATTACCCTTCATTTTATCGTGACCTACCCGATCTGCCGAGTAGACACTGGTTTTACTTAATTATCTCTGAGTGCCCCCCTCCCACACTTTTCTTGACGAAACGCAACTAGTTTTCGAAATCGGTTGGCTCCGCTCCACCCAGTGTACACATTGGAAAAAGCGAGGTGTGTTTACTAAGGTGGCGCTACATCAAACATACCTATGATGTTTGTATTTCTGTTTCTTATCGGAATGCACAGGAGGCGCTTTATCTGCACGTCGTACAGACCATTCGCCTGAAAGAAAGCGTAAGTGTACATTTAGTCATTCCAAATATTTGCTAAGAAGAGCGGATGGCCAGCAACCGCTTACGCACACCATCGAAGATTTTCGAGCGGTGTTTTTTTCAAAGTATCGGACTGAAATCCCTAAATAGTCTTAATCTTCTGAACAATTTACTCATCATGCCACACGTACATACGCACGCACGCACGCACGTAATCACATACACACACGCGCACGCGCACGAACACGCACCCGCACACGCACACACACACACACACACGCACGCACACACACACATATATATATATATATATATATATATATACGTTTTATAGTCATGAAGGAGGGGTGTTATTCATTAGTAGCCCTAGTATGTTAGGCGAAGTTAATCTCGTTAACTTCAAAATTAGTGTACTCTAGGTATTTGAAACTCTAAAAACCAGTGTATACATCACTGTAGTTGTTTCTTACTGACTCCACATTGTGATGTCACCCCGAACCTGGACGCCTCTTAGTCGAGGCAACCATAGATCTATGCATAGCCTGACGCACACGACCAATTTTTGTTGTCATAAAAGAAAAACATTTATCTACAACCGGTAATTGGCCATACGCTGTGGCCCGAATCAAAGAAACCTGATTGTCTTTGAGCGTCCATCTGTTTGATATTGACGACAATTGTTTTGCCTCTATGCCAAAAAATCGGATTACGTGAATTGAACGTATTTAATGATTACGACAGCTCTGTTTTATTGATCAATCAAGGATAATTTTATATTAAAAATGCCGACGTCCATCGAATGTTGCCACGGAATAACGAGGAAATGCTGATCAAATTATGGAAAAGACAGAAATAATTGTATGCGGATACCTGACCCCCAGTATTCCGATTGGTCAGACGACGATCACAGCAGAACAAAATCGGCCGTGTGCGGTCGTGTTGTATCATGTTATGTTCTGACACTCGTCGGTGTCCACTACACTGGATACAGTGGCAAGATGATGGCGAAAAATAAACAACAACAACAACAACAACAACAACAGATATCTGATACAACAAAGGTCAGCTGCGCGCGTTATGCTTTCTATGTCCGGCGGAAGTTGTCGGACACATGCGGGTAAGTGACCCTGCTGAGTCGAGGAAGTGCTTCGCTGCTTACATCCGAATCGGATGTCGATACCAACGAAACAGCGCTAAACAACTGAATGCAACTGGCTGCAATTCACTGCGACTGCAGTGCTTAGGTCGGCCGACTGCGACGCGACTGGAAGTAACTGGATTTCGAGCAACTGGAAGCGATCAGCAGCGACTAGTTGCCACTAGTTGCTCGGAATAGAACAGTGGGCAACTAGACGCAACTAGTCGCTGCCGATCGCTTCCAGTTGCTCGAAATCCAGTTGCTTCCAGTCGAGTCGGCTCGCAAGCCCGACATAAGCCTTAAGATATGAGTAAGATATACATGTTTGTCATATAACATTACATGATGTTTAGTAAAATTGTACTTTTCATGCTCAAGGCCTACAGCTACTACTATGCTTACCTTCATTTATGAACTTCTTGTAACAAAGTATAATTAGTACGCTCTATATACGAAGTATATATGCACTACTTTGTAAAACTGTTTATGCCGGCATTTACCTGTTTGTACCATCACTGAACTATGTTACCATCATAGTGTTGTAGATATTCTGTATAACGTATAATATAATGTAATGTACATATGTGTTTCTGGAAATAAAGGACATAATAAAAATAAATACAAAATACATCAGTGTTGTCACACAGTGTGAATTCGCACGTATGAGCATGACCATTCGGTGACCGTGTACCATACCAGCCTGACGCAGTTGCAAATAAATTGTATCACTGTGTCCCGACGTACTGTGGATTGCAAATTGCGCCCCTGTCCCCAGGATCATCTGAGATTAAAATCGACCAGGATCATTCATAAATGGGCAAGATCGACGAAAATTCTCTAGAATACGAGATGGAGCTGTGAGTCAACTCTTGCCAACCCCTTCAAAATGCCTAGAGCTGATCAGTAATTTTTTCGCACGATGTGGTTGAGAGGGATTCGTAGGATTAAAATGCTAAGTTCTATCTTCAGGCTTGGATTCTCCATCGATCAGCGTCAGGAGCTATCGATCGTCACGTAGCCGGTCTAATTGTATATTTTAATCACGATAGCCTCGCATTTTCGCCTCGCCAGCTGACCTTTAAGCGGCTATTCTCTTGCCGGCGTGCGTCGGGTGCGACTTGTGCATGTGCGCCGGTACGTGCGTGCGCGAGTGCGTGCTTCAGTGAGTGGATGCGCGAGTGTGTGCTTCAGTGAGTGGATGCGTGAGTGTGAGTGTGTGCTCGCGTTAGGGTGCGTTTATGTACGACTTTGTAATTCGTTTCAAGGTAGTTTTCTTTATTTAACGCAAACCCCGAACTTGAACTCAATTTGTTCGAAAGGCGAAACCCATTCATACAAGTGCAGTTATTTTCCCGCACGGATCATGCGAAGTATTCATGCAGTATATCTGCTTAGTTGCATGAGGTATGCGTTGGACTTCCGAAACTAATTATGTGATAACAGGTCGGCACGCACGCACAAACGCGCGCATGTACACACGCATGCACACACACACACATATATATATTTATATATATATATATATATTCCAAGCTGTGAAAACATCTCTCAATATAAATCTATTAGACAAATGAGGCAGGACAAGTTGTAACTCAGGGTATGGTAGACATACGTGCAAGAGTAAACGGTCACGTTAGTAACCACCCAATTAGTTTAAAGCCGCTTATTAGTATCTACTCTTGCAATTATGTATATAGGCATCAATTTACCGTCTGTATCTCATTGTTGTGTAGCCGATTGCTGCATTGCGTCTGCACAAGAGATTGGTAAACATGTTGCCGCCGCGTTCTCATCAGATTCAACTATACAGTAAGCAGCCGCGCAATTAAGGTAAGGTAAGGTAAGGTAAGGTAAGGTAAGGTAAGGTAAGGTAAGGTAAGGTAAGGTAAGGTAAGGTAAGGTAAGGTAAGGTACCTACCTACCTACCTACCTACCTACCTACCTACCTACCTACCTACCTACCTACCTACCTACCTACCTACCTACCTACCTACCTACTTACCTACCTACCTACCTACCTACCTACGTACCTACCTACCTACCTACCTACCTACCTACCTACCTACCTACCTACCTACCTACCTACCTACCCACCCTCACGCCCAGCCAACCAATCCAGTCCCTCCCCCACCCATCGCCACCAATTAACCCACCCATCTCTACCAATTAACCCACCTAACCAACCACCCATCCACCCACTGACCGCGTATGTGCCAATACTATAATCGTATTGCATCTGATAAAGGCAATGTAATATTAATCAAAACTGGCTTCCATTCTATATGCTAAATGCGCCCCTCGACCAACTGACGTGCGAACGTCGTCGGGTATTTTCGGTTTACGTACTTACATTAATTAACGCGTTCACCCGTGTAACTGCTCATAAATACGCATCTGCTGGTGACTAAATGTTAATGCCTTGAAATTAACCTAGCCGCCGCTGTATGCATACAATATTTATATGGAGCGCGCGGAGAGATGCTGCACAGAGTAGATAAGCGAGATTGTGCCAACTTCGCCACGAGTCAAATCGGGTCCTATTGCACTCTTCTAAGTATTAAAAACC